TCAGGTCGTAAATTTACAATCCCTTTTTTCAGGGGGAGAACTAACAAGGAGGGGACAATCTTGCTCGGGATCTTGAGAAAATGTGGGGGTTGTTTAAACATCTAACTTCTCTACATTCAGTTTTATACAGAGGAAAATACAAATTGAATTCTTCGAATGAATGCAATTTTGTACAATGAAAATGTATTACTTAACGATAAACTGTAAGATAAATAACATCTTTTTTTAAAGCCATAGGTGTAGAAAGACAGATATTTGTTACACGAATGAATTTGTAGTAAATATTGAGTTTTTCATTTCGAATGCTATGTTCCATGTATGCGAAGTAGCTGAGGATGTGAGATAATAGTCATAACCGAATGGCTTTCAACCTTTTCACGTCTAAGGACTGTTTTTCAATTACATTGTGGTCGCTGCTTTTTGGTTAATTTTCTAATGACATATAAACAATAATTGTTTTTATTTGAGACTTATAAAATAACGCAAACTAGACTGCAGAAAATTCTTCAAAATGAAGTTAAATAATACTGAAAAATACATTATTGATGCACTTTTGGGTTTTATATGTAGCACTATTAACTACTACTATAATCCTTAAATTATATATATCTATGTATAAGTATATATAAATGGAACCAAATATAGAACAATGTATAAAATATCAAAGAAAAATATTTTTATTATACAATGTTCATTACCATACGTATATTTACGTAGGTGTGCGGAAAAAATGTCACCCGGAAAAAAGAAGAAACGAAAAGAATGTGCCCGGAAAATAAGGAATTGGAAAAAATGTCACTCGGAAAATAAGGAACGGAAAAAAAGAAACTCTAAAATCTTGCCAAATATTGTCGCCGATTGGAGTTGGGGAAACCTGCCAAATTCTAATTTAACAGGCAGAGTTATAGCGGGCTCTCTTGAAGGAGGTTTTAAGGGTAAGACGTTGAGCTGGCTGCAGCCGAGCAAGGTCATGTCGATAGCAGGTTTTTCCAACTTGCCTGCGGTCGTATGTTCTCCCCCGCTTTTGCTTCTAGGAAACCGACCCACGTCACCCGGAAGGCAAGAATTCACGGGGAAGCAAATGCTTCTCCTCTGTTATACCCATAGACCTGTTATATACAGCTCTATGGTTATACCAATGATTGCCGCCTTGAAACTAAATTTCATCCATCCCTTAACTGAAAGCTAACAGTTTGTCACAGTTCAACTAAAGTGTTAATAATGACAAATTGTCAGTAAGACGCAACGCGAAAGCTGCTTGTTTGTACGGACTAAATAGCTTAATAATTTGACAAGCTGTAAAAATTTAAAACATAGCTATTGGCGAGTATAGTCTGTTATTTTTTATTACAGTTTAACGAATCTAGCAATAATACTATATTATGCATTTCTTTATTATTAATCTATGCGTTATATGAAATATAATTTTCTAAATACTAACGATTTATCATCAGTTAATTTATAAAAAGACCGATATTTTATAGTATAAACTTTTTTATCACTTTAACGGTTTATCATTAGCTTTTTTTTAAATCCAAAGAGACTTTGTTCTTAGAGAACTATTCTTTTCGTTTTTGCGATTTTGCGTTGAAATCACCTTCAAAATCACCGAATCACAGTTCAAAAGCAGTATCGCAAAATAATTTTAAAAGAGCACATTTTTAGAATTTCCGATTCACAGTCTCACGGGCTGGAAATAAAAAATTTTTTTCTGTACAACGTTGCCATGGCTCGCTTTGAAATTCTTCAGTTTGTTAATCAAAAATTCGTTAACGTTTTAGAAAATATAAAACCGATAATAAAACAAATTCCAAATTTCAAATTTAGCCTTCCAGTTGCCATATTCGCAGTAGGATTACGTCATTCGAAACTCGATAGCTCTAGGTACCGTTGTTTTATCACAATATTTGATGGCAACAGTTTGAAAAGTGAAACGGACATTCAGAGTGATTCGACGCAAAATGAAACAATAGTCTCTCAGGGACTAATAATTTTGAAATAAACTTCCTAATTTTAATAACTGTGGTATTCTTGTTTTCGAACTTAAGTGCAAAATTAAACAATTGTTTCCTGTGCAGATACGTTACTTTTAATTAAAATGAAATGAGAAAAAAAATTATGCGAAAATTAATTAGCTAAAAAATTTAGTACTATTCTTATCGCAAACCATGACTTGAAAGTGCATCTACTCGTACAACTGTTTCTTATACCAAAGCTAAGGATGAATTAGTTTTCTGTTGTGCGTCAATAACTGTTTCACTAAACCACAGCTTAAGGCTATAACTACATGCGGTGGGAGGAGAGAGCAATTACTAAAGACTTGACAATGACCGAAGCTGGACAACCGCCTTCCCCGCTGGCTTCCACCGCGAAAGCTTTCCCCGCTAAACACCCCTCTATTTTTAACCTTAACGAAGAAAGCAGCAGCTAGCAAATCTTCTTGCTTCTACTCGCACGTTTCCGGTAATCCGAAGTTACGGTTGTTGAGATAAAACTTTTATCACTCAGTTTGGCAATCTTTCTAAACATGCCTTATATTTCCCATTGCAAATGAAGGGTGACATTTTTTTTTTGGTTTCTTATTTTCCGGGGAGATTCTTTCCGTTTCCCTTTCCCTTTTTCCCGGGTGACATTTTTTCCTACAACCATTTACGTAATATCAATATAAATAATTAGTTAGGTTTCATACATATATAATTTATTTTTATATTTTGTATTAGATTCAGTATTGTATACGTATCTGAAGTTTAATTTTACTTGTTCTCTTTTTGGGTTACGACTTTAAGTGAGAAAGAATTGTTAAGGCCTTCATAGGGATTACATTATATACAATCAGTTACGTTCCGACTTTTCCTTTCTTTTAATCATTATATATATTTAAATACTATTTGATAAGTATACATAAAATATAGCAGTTTTTTAAGCTACTTATTTATATATCTATTGTTTGGTCTGGTTTGTTTGATTATAGCAAAGCATTTGACGGTTATTTGCCTAAGGGTAAGGGTGCCTCATGGAGGACTTTCTAAGCAAAACTGACTCTTATGCACGTTACACGTGGGGAAAACATCGTAAACGCCAATACAGCCATCCCAGTTAAAATTATTGTTTAGAATGCGCTTATAATGGTTTTTATATTTACGAAAGATACTTCCCGTTTACTCAGGCTCGCTGTATTCAAGTCGATAGGACCAATTGAAAGTTCGATTTGTTAATTCATTTCCAAGTTTCAAATCGGATGAATGGACTCGCAAAAAAAAAAAAAAAAAATGGCACATTAAAATACGGTCACTGAACTACAGTCAATATGCAAGGGAAAAATCATTATCGAAAGTAAGTTTCCCAAATTTAATATCTCATGCCCAGAAAATCAGTGCTGTGTTTGCTTCATCTTATATATATGAACAAGTGTTTTCAACTATAAAATCTTGGAAAGAATTATTTCAGAAGTAGACTAACAGATGAGCATTTAGCCTCGTTCCTTAGAATCAGTACATCTCACTTCGAACCTCAATACAAGGAACTTTAGAAAATGAAATCGCTATTTTATTCACCTCATTAACATATTTAAATTGTAATACTTATATTGTTTTTAAAATTTCAGAAAACTTTATCTTGGCTTACCATACGTTTTTCTTTCGATTTTTGGCCAGCGACCGAAAAAAGTACTAAAATTACAATTAAAAATTATGCTGCAGAGATCAACGCAGAGCTTGGAACACAGTTCATGCTATCGTCACGTACAGTTGTCTGACGAGAAGTCCGAGTGAGTAATGACGTTGCTTTACTGCTCCGATTAAGAACTGGATTTGACACGTGGCGCCATCTCATGAATAGAAGTTAAAGTATCTGTCGGAAGGCCACAGTACTCCCCCCCCCAAGTACCATCGGTACGTTACAAGTACTTTGGGTTAAATTTAACCTTTTTTCCAGATCTGTTAGTTTTAGGTTGCTCTCTTAACTCTTTCGCATCGAAGACACCTGAAACGCCCGGCCATTCAGACATCGGCAGGTCGCCCGACCGCCTCGTTCGTCTTCTACTTGATGCTTTCCCCCATCCCGGAGTATATGCTTCATTGGTTTCGCGAACTGTTAAATGACATGTCAATCATTTCTTTAGAAGTGACTGAAGTAGCTCTTTTATTTGAATGCAGGTTGGCTCCTCTTTGTTTAGCTTCAACGCTCCCAGGGTAGGTGACTCGAGTCTAGATCGCTCGTTTTACTCCTTTCTCACGTTGTGAAAACGTCTTGCTCTTATTCTGTAGTTTCATCTCAAAATGATCAGAAGACGTAAGATATTAACGCAAGAAGAAATAAATGCAATATTATTTGAAGAAACAGACGAATCTGATAACGCTGAATCTGATGAAGATGATGGACATTCAGAACATATGTTGATAGATAATGAAGATGATGGGCATTCAAAACATATGTTGATAGATAACGGAGAGGATGAAATCGAATGCAATTATAATTTAGAACACGACGAAAATTTGGACTCTTCATATGATACCTCCGAATCAGACTGGAGAAATGACATAAATAACGAGGACATAAAATTTGAACATTTCTCTTCGTCACCTAGACCGTCTCATGATTTGCCAACTGGATCATCTGCTTTAGATTATTTAAAATTACTTCTGCCTGATGAATATTAGACAGAATACAAATAAATACGCAGAGTTTTGTGCAAAAAAAACGTGGTATTGAAGATAAAAGCTGGCAGCCTATACTCTCCGTAAATGAGATTTGGGCTTTTATAACTGTTTTTTTTTTTTCATAATGAGCATTATGCGTTTGCCTAGAATAAATGATTATTGGTCTCAGAATCCTATACTCGGCAACGAAGTGATAAAGAAATTAATGTGCAGAGATAGATTTTTAAAAATTAAACATTATTTTCATATCTCTGATAGAGAGAAAGAGGTAAAGGGAAATGATGAAAACTTTTAGTTTTTGCAAAAATTAGAGCCTGTTATTTCTAAGATAAAAGGGCGGTTTTCAGATTGTTTTAAGCCGTATAAACATCTTTCGGTTGATGAAGCTATGGTAAAATTCAAAGGGCGTTTAGGAATTGTGCAGTATATGCCTTTAAAACCAGATAAGCGCGGGCTTAAAATTTGGATGTTATGCACATCTCATTTGGGTTACACTGTAAATTTTGAATTGTATGCTGGAAAACGAGATAAAATTGTGAGGTCAGGCAAAGGATTGGGATACGATGTTGTTACACATTTGATAAAACCCTTAACAAGCAAGGGACATGAACTCTATTTTGACCGATTTTTTACCAGCGTTCAGCTGATGGTTGATTTATTGAAATACAAATTTTATTCTTGCGGAACTGTTATGCCGAACAGAAAGCACTTGCCACCTGAAATTAAAACATTAAAATTGAAAATCCCAAATGAAAGTCAGACTTTTCAAAATGAAAAATTTCCGAATTTGTTGTGCACGTCTTGGGTAGATAAAAAGCAAATTTTTATGCTATCAACTAATACAAAAAATGAACTGTGTCATGTGAACAGAAGAAAAGGAGCAGACAAAATTGAAGTTCTTTGCCCACGTTCATTCGCAGTATATAATACGCACATGGGAGGAGTAGATTTGGCAGATCAGAGACGTAAATATTATACAGTTGCCAGAAAATCATCCAAATGGTGGTTGTATATATTTTGGTTCCTTCTGGATATTACCATCAATAATGCCTATATAATTCAGCATACGACAAATTATCCTCAACAAAAACGGTCAAAAACTTTGTATGATTTCAAGCTGGAACTCATACAAGAATTAGCAAATGTGTATTCATATAGAAAGCGCACTTCAGCGTCATTTGAACCACTACTAGTCATTTTCATAAACGAAGAAAAATTGAAGGGCGTAAAAGAACGTGCGTTAAATGTCGAAAGCAAAGAAATAAAACAACAGCAAACAATTCTCTTCAAAGCACATGGGAATGCGAAATCTGCAAGATGTGCCTTTGAAAAGGCTGCTTTGATGACTAGACATTCCAGTTTCTCTTGCTATATAAAAAAGGCCCTTTTCAGGGCCAGCAAATAATGTAAAAGGAAAGCTTTTGTTTGCTATCTAAACTTGAAGAGAAATCATATGATTTCATATGAAAATAACATAAAATGTAAAAAGAAATGAATTTTTCTACCTTTGCGCAGTATTTAAATATTCCTTCGTATGAAGAAAACTAAGTTTAATGAATTATTTAACTGTTCTTTCTTTAATCTCTTTTTGTATCCTACACTTGAAATTTCAAGAAAGTATGAGGGTTATTTTATTTTTAATAATCATAAGTGTTCCTGATAATGCATAACTAAAATTATAATGCTAAAACCATTTAAAATGTCCCAGATAAAGTATATATTTCTTCTGAAACACGAGTTTTAAAACCATCAAATATATACAGCTAATATTTTTTTTTTTTTCAATATAAGAGTAAAGGTTTACTTTCCTTCTAAGATTATATTAATTCATAAACAATTGATTGAAATCTGTATAAATTTATTAAAGGCATGTTAATAAATGCTTATTGCTAATCCTGTAAATGGATGCAAATTATATGAAGGGATTTCAGTAATAAGAGAAGAGAGTGAGGGTTTCTATAGCTCTTATTTTGAAATAAATTTCTACTCAGTAGCATTAACTTGCTGAATGGAAGTGTTCTGGTATTTACTAGCACAAAACTGCGGAAATATTAGAAATAATTTTTATGCCGGATGGCTGTAAAATGTAACTGGTAATATTCAAGCTCTGTCAAACCACCATTTATCAACTAAACTATTTGCCCTAAATATTTCTTTTCTTCCTGCAGTGAAAATAGATAAAAAGGTACCAGACTTTTCTATTTTTTATAAAAATTATTCGTAAGTTCTTTTATATAAGAATCAAGGAAAACATTAAATAAAATAAATTAAATCAATGTACACCAACTGCCTTTACGTATTTTTGTTTATTATAAGAATCACTGCGCTTTAATTTATACAATGAAAAATCTTACTGACCCCATAAATATACATAATTGTTTCCTCTAAATCTACACTATCGCATCTTAAAACCGATTATTTTAAGCAATATAAAGTACTCAAATCATTAAAAATATTGAGGAGAAATATAGAAAGCTACTGATGCTCCCATTTGCAATCCTGTCCTAAGGGAAAACTGCACACAATGGGTGAAACGACCGAAAACCATGGAGGTAGGAAAGGGAGGAGGGGCCATTCCGCGCTAGAAGTGAAGCACTGCTTTGAAGCTTGGGTCACCAGACGGGATGTTCTTTGTTTACATTCAGAAGCTCGCTTGACAAGATTCCGATAGTATTTCGACACACGACAGTTCCATAGAAATCGAAAAAGGGACATTCTCGCATGAAAGAAACATTCATAGTGTAAGGGATAATAGCAATTTGTATAGTTTACTGACATTTCCGCAAAAATCACATCTTGGTTATTTTTTCGATAACTAACAACAGCGATTTTGATTATGAATTTGTTTTATAAAATTCTAAGCTGTTGCACTACAAAAATATAGATTTTAAGAAAATTGCTAAAAGAGATCTGCCAAAATTTATTTTCTAGAAGATTTGAAAAGTTTGAAACTTGATGGCTAAATGTAAATATAAAATTATGTATGTTAAAATATTTGTAATTGGGCACATAGGTCAGATTAAGTTTTCATTAAATAGAGTAACGCATGCAAGGGCTATCTGCCTAAAGAGAGAGATGCCATCGTGGAGGAATTTTGAAGAAAAACTGACCTTTGAGTGGGTATTAAAAATAATACTTATAATTTTCATTCAAATTATATTCATATATATTTTTTATGTAAGACTTTCGGGTGTATGCTAAATTAGTGTAAATTACTTTACACGAAAAATAGTGAATGCACAGAAATTAAAGATTTGCACATGCCGAAAATGATAAATAGGAAATATGTATGGGTATTTATGCATGTGCTTGCAAAAAGCATGTATCTGCCTTTGACAAAATACTTAAATATTCATTAAATTATTTATAAATGTATTTGAAATGAAGAATTTATTCACTTATAAACAACTGTGAAAGTACTGTGAAAGAATCTAATGATTAAATGTATCTAATTTATAATGATTATAAATGTTATCTAAATATATAATAACCTTAATATTGAATAAATGTAATTGAAACATAAATTGAAATCCTGTTGACAAATACGTTATAAAACTATTTAAGCAAGAATTGTTCGTATTGGAAAGCAATCTGTTAAAAGGTATTGTAAAGCAAATGCTATGAGATGCGCACTTAAGAACGTAATAAAGAGTTTTGGAATATGTATTGTTGAAATGAAGGGTAAAAAAAAATCTGATAAGTATAATTAAAAGAATTATTCCCTTTACATTTTATAATAACTCAGTTACAAGTTTTAAATAATACTTTAAAAAAAAAAAAAAAAAAAAAAAAAAAAAAAAACTTATTTTATTCCCTTTCAGAAATGTTCAGAGAAAGTCAAATACTAGTTAATACCTATTTAATTATTAGGAATTAGCGAAATACTTATTTAAAGTATTTCACTAATTCCTAATAATTCTCTAATTTAAAAATGAACCGAATAGAGCATTAATTATAAATTGACTTACATTTTTCGATTTAAAAGAAGCCAAAAAATCATGTCATATTTAAGAAAGTATTTTAGGAAGAAGCTCTATAAATAGAAAAGAAATAATGCATAATTTTAATATTAATAATACAATAAACTTTGATCTTAATTTTTGTACCTTAATAAAATCGAATTACCTTATTTTTTTTTTTTCTAATGTAATTAACGAAAACTTTTGAAAATATTTCATTCAAATTAAACCATTCTGAGAAAACTGTCCTGTGAAAAGTATAGCATTTGATTCCGTTCAGAATGAAATGCTGTTTAAAAATATGTTGTTTTCACATACTTAGGACTCTGAAGTGTTGTAGAAAAAGAAAATATATACATTTATATGTATATTTGCGACGTAATTACAAAATATTTACACCCGAACGCGTCAAATCCCATAGAACTCAATGGTAAATGACCTAATGTTTTGGTCACCACGTAGGGATCGCCGGTGCTTCAGAGCAGGGTACGGAGAAACTTGTTTAGGGCGACTCCATCTTACTTCCTACCTCCATGCCGAAAACCCCCTTCAAGAGATAGTAATCAATTCAGTAGTAGTTATTGTTAACGCTGTAGCAGCTTACTAGACAGGAAGGGAGGAAAACCATTTCAGGAAAAACTCGTGTACACGGGCGTTCTCAATGTTTCAAGAAACCAGATTTGGCCTTCTTTCGATGCGAAAGAGTTAACGCGATTTCAGAAATCTCGCCAAATGCAAATTATCTGAGTGTCTCCTCCGCGTCAAGACAGTTCATCCTCTGCTTCCAAGTTGAAGTGTGTGAGTAGGAGATCTTGCGCTTTCAAGCTTGACAAAGCATTTCCATAGAAAATGTACAAATGCACGGTATGTTTTACATAGTTTTATTAATAAAAAGTATATGTATCTGAGGAAATAGACTATCGGTTGAGGTTTTAGATATAAGTTTTACTTTTGTTTTAATTTGATGTTCAATATGTCTTTATTATTTAATATACTTCTCTTTTGATCAGGCTAATTTTATAAGAGAAATTGTATTTTTATTTCTTATGAAATGTACCAGATTTATTTGATCAATTGATTGACTAAAAAATTTTTTTGCCCGATTAATTTTACTTGTTGGATTTTTAAAATGAAATGTTGGTAAATGTCAGATTGCTGAATGAAAAGCTTAATATATTTTCGAATGTGTGAGTACCAGAAAGCTCTTCTAACCTATAACCGTATGTCAGTGTAATGTTTATTTACCATACATAAAATTAAAAATTTTGAAATAATCATAGAATATACCTCAGAGGTATCTTTGAACTCTTTTCTCCCTATTTTTACTCCTAAGTTTCTAATTTATATACATTTAAAATATTAGTTGAAAACTAAATTGGAATGAAACTGCATGATTTATGGCAAATTACACTGGTGTGCAAAAATTAAGGACGAGACGGTTTTTTCAATATAACTTTGTACAAAAGCTTACCAAATCAACACATTTAATACCGTAAGATCCCCAATACGTAAGGACATGAGTAATGTAAGCAACAGTTACTAAAAGAGAAATCAGAGGGATAAAAAGAAGCTTTATTGAAAAAGTAGCATGGAGCGCAATGCGACTGAAGGCCGAAACATCCCTGTAATGGGTGTCCAGCAAGAAACATCCGGTCTTTAATAGGGGATATGATCTCCCGTGACTGCTAGGCAGGTTTCACAGCGTCTGCCATGCTGAGAATGAGGGTGTCAATGAGTTGTTGAGGCATTGCTGCCCATTCGTCTTGCAGCGCCAATCGAAGCTCCAGAATCGTTACTGGTGGTAAGATACGAGCTGCTAAGCATCTGCCTAGAAAATCCCATACATGCTCGATGGAATTGAGATACGGAGATCGTGCCGGCCAATCCATACGTTCAATATCCTCACTCTCTAAGAGCTGTTCGGCAGCTACTGTGCGATGACATGGTGCATTGTCGTCCATGAAAAGGAACTGCGGACCCATAGCGCCTCTAAAAGATGCACATATGGAAGAAGAATCTCGTTACAATAACGGGTCCCGTTGACTGAACCTGCGTCGAAGATGTGAAGGTCTGTACGACTACCAAGCATGATGCCTCCCCAAACGAGAACACCGCCACCTCCATACCTGTCCCTTTCAATGATGTTCGAGGGATGATTGCGGCTTCCCCGCTCTCTCCAGATGAGTATGCGATGAGAATCGCTACTCAGACTGAATCTGCTTTCATCTGTAAAGAGTACTCGTCCCCATTCATTGTCTCTCCGATTCCGGTGTTTCCGGCACCACAGAGAACGCCTTCTCCGATGGGCAGGCATTAGAGGTACACACAGTACCGGGCGTCGTGCAAACAGACCAGCACCGTGCAGTCTTCTGGCCACGGTAAAACGCGATATCGGTCGTCCAGTCGCCTGTGACGTGTGTCTGTCTAGCGATTTCTCCCGCTGTCT